TACGTCAACTTATTATAAGCATGCTTATGTTATAAAATCAATTAAATATAATATTTCTTTTCTAGAAATCAACTAAGAATGTCAATAAATAAGAGTGTCAATATAATATTTTCTTTCTATATTAATAATAGAAAAAAATTAAAATAAGTTAAATGTCAATATTGTTAACTATTGTAATATTTATATAAATTTAATTATGTAGTCTATTGTTTTTTTTCTTCTTTCATTTTTAAACCTTTTAAAATTTTTATGAGAGTTACATTGATAAGTTGAAATTATATCTTATACGTTATTTTTATTTTTACATTAGTCATGTATAGATTGATCGGGAACTCTAAAGTAAAAAATTGCTAGTTTTGACTTAATTCTAAACACATAAAATAACCAAATTAAAATAAAAAGTGAAAAGAATATATCATGAATCATAATACTTTCCAAGAGGTGACTCTTGAACTAAAGTTAATTCATTTGGTTGACCAAGTAAGCCCCACATTTGTATATTTCTTGTTTTTCATAAGGAGATTCAAATAAAATGAAAATTACATAATTTAATTAAGACAAATATAAAAAATTAAACTTAACCCACTCTCAAGAAATTAAAATACAACATAAAGTGGCAAAACTTATCCCTACCAAAATTTTATTACTAAATATGCACAATTAACAAAATATGAATACCATGCTTGTGTGTGTGTGTATAAGAAGTATAATTGTAGTTATCATGTAAAATGACTTTGAATAATAATGTTATCATTCAAGTTTGGGAATAGGAAACATTCCTCAAAATTAAGACAACAAAACATAATTTATACTAGAAAGCTTGAATGTGAAATTTCAATGCTAGCTTTAATTCTCATAAATATTTATTTATTTTAAAAAAATTTCAAAGAAAAAAATTTAAAAGTTCTATAAAGTTTTTTTTTGTGAATTTTTTAATCCCCATATATGTGTATATGTGCCATTTAGTTAATTATAAGTAAAGAAGTTATTATTAAATTATTAAATAAATTGACATATATGATTAAAAAAACTTGTGGCAAATATAAAATATAATTTAAAAGTGGTTGTAAACATCGAATTTTGTTCGGAACATATTTTAACATAATTGATTTGGGGCTCATTTACCAACATAGGCAGTAACCATTTAGGAGGACCATTTACAACTTATAAAGAGCCTAAAAATTAGCTCATTTAGAGACCTAAAGTCAACTTGGGTAAAATCCGATCAAACAAAGTCAAAATTAACAAAATTTGGTCAAAATGGATAAAGCTTATTAATTCTCAAAATTCATAACCTAATTAAAATCAATGTGGTTTAAAATTAAATTTGGAGATTTTTAAAACACTAAAAATTTGTATTGCACTTGGAGAAATACAAAATTACTAAAATGCCCTTTAAAAGGTATTTTCATAATTTGGCCTCTCGAGCTCTGATTTTTGTGAAACTTTTAGATCTTAATTTTATAATATTTCATAATTTTTGGTGCATTTGAAATCATAGCAGTACCCCCGAAAGGTGTGAAATTACAAAAATACCCCTTAGGGGTATTTTCGTAATTTAGTCTTTTCAAGCTCGGATTTTCACAAAACTTTTCAAATCTAAATTTTATAATATTTCATGACTTTTGGTGCTAAAAAATTCACAAAATAAACATGAAAATATTATTTTCTAAAAAAAATAGCCTAAATACTGAAAACTTTGTTCTATGGGTAAAATAGTCTTTTCATATGATGAGATGCTATAAAAATCCAAAATTTGTAGTGAATAATGTGGACCATTAGATCTCCTCTTAAATCTTGATCTAATGGCTAAAATTTGCTCCTCGAAAAAAAAAAAAAGAACTTTGGCCCTTGGATGAGATTTGATGCAAGGGCTTATACTCACAAAGAAAAAGATATATTTTTGAAGGTCTTCTTCTTTACAAGAGGGAGGGTTTTCTACAATTTTAGAAAAAGGGAAGGCAATTGGGAAAAAGAGAAAAAATTAAAAAAAAAAAGGAAAGAAAGTTATGAAAAGCTTGGAGTATGTAAAATTTTGGCCTTTGGATGAGATTTGATCCAAGGGCTTATACTCACAAAGAAAAAGATATATTTTTGAAGGTCTTTTTCTTTGCAAGAGGGAGGGTTTTCTACAATTTTAGGAAAAGGGAAGGCAATTGGGAAAAAGAGAAAAAATAAAAAAAAAAAGAAAGAAAGTTATGAAAAGCTTGGAGTATGTAGAATTCTTCTTTTTTTTTTTTCCTTCTTCTTTCTATTTCATAACATTCATCACATCTTCTATATCATCTACTTTTTTTTTAAATTTTTTGTTTCTTTTTTTTAAATAAAGTCGTAATTCCTCTTTGATTATTTTTTACTAAGCTTGGATCGACTTACTAACTAGTTTGTAGTTTGGATTGAAACAAGAAAACCTAGCAACAAAGAATTTTTAATCCACTATTTTGGTCGAACCTTATTTGGTCTTCCATTGATGTTTTTCTTGCTTTTGAAAGTTATTTGTGATGATTAAATGACAAGTTTATTTGTTGTTCACATAAATTTTAGCTAGAATGTGATATGAGGATGTTGTTTGGCTTTAAATGTTAACTCTACGTTTTCTTTTCTTCTTAGTTAGTTATATGCTTCTTGAAACTCCTCATATATTGTAGATGCCTTCATATGATGAAAATTATGATGTTCAATGGATATTTGAATGAAATGAAGTGTTGATTGCTTAGGGAAATGCCATAGAGTATTCAACCAAGGTTGTTTTCTTGCTTGATCGAAACTTGCTCATTCATTTGTGGCCAAATGTTGCTTGATTTTATGTATTTGATTTTTGTGTTTGTCATGTTTATTAAATTTTCAATGTATTGGATTAATTTTTCAATGAAAAAATGATAGTTGAATGAGTTGTTTGGTTGATTTTTATGTTTGTTTGGTTAGATTTTTAAAAAACAAAATGGTGAAACATTCAAACCAATTTCAAAAGTTTGTTATGTTTGATACATTTTTTTCTCTTGAATTTTCATACGAAACTTGTTTGTAATTTGGTTTTGTAAATGCATAGGCTTGTAATTAGTTTTTTTTTTTTTTATGTCATGCTTTTATCATGCATTCAGTAATGGCATTTAGGAAATTTGTTCTTGTCGTGTGTATAATTTCATAAAACCCTAAATCTATTTTAAATTTTTAAGAAATTGCATGAAAATTTTTTATGAAATAATTTGTTCCAAATATTGCCTAGATGTTATGGTATTTAGGAAATTTTATTTCATTAAAAATTTTTATACATTTCTACAACTCAAAATAAATTTATTAAATTAACAAATGTAAAATAATAAAAAGTAATTGGATGATTTTAAATATAAAAATTTGCACCCAAACTCTGCCTAAATGTTAAAAAATCTAGGTGATTTCTTTATATTTGAAAATTTGATTCTTAATTTCACACTTGATCATTATTTTGCATATGCTTCATTTTAAATTAATGTTCTTCATTTATAACGCATATATATTTGCTCTAGTTATGGATGTTTAATATTAATTATATTATATGTCATTTTTTTATATCAAAAGTTTTCTTAAAATTTTTAGTTTTGAATAAATAAAATTAAAATAACATTATATGAAATATAATTGATCGTTATTCTACTTAAATATTAAAGAGTCATCAATAATTATCATTTATAAAAAATATTATTTTATTATTTTTAGAAGGAATGTTATGATAAATCTTAAATAGATAAACTATTTTCGAATTCTGCTTTTTTGTCGAAGACTTTGAATGTATTTTTTTAATTTAAAGATTTCCTTAATATTTGTAAATAAAATTTTTTTTAATTAATTTTATTTCTCACAAAATAAAGGGAATTGTAATTAAATTTCATATAAAAATAATTTTCATCCAAAATTATAAATAGTGCCTAATTAATTAGTACTAATTATATGAGCATTGTAGGGGTATTAATCTTTTCTCACACGTAATGAACTATCGAATTTAATTTTGTTTTCGTAGACTAAAACTATTTTTTTAATAAACTTATTATTTTTATTAAAAAGATAAAATTTTTAAATGATCAATTACACCTCTAAAAAAGATTGGTGGTAACTTCTCATAATTTTTCATGATTTTTAAAATATTTTACATCTTATGATCGAATTTTCAGACAAATACGTTACTACAGTGATAAAATCAAACAAATAAGTGATTCAATCATGACTAAACAAATATAAGTTTCTGTGGAAACATGTTAGAATTACTTATCAATTCAGTGAATATTAAAAAGTTTTGTCATATGGATATCTTAACATGTAAATATTACAATTCTCAAATTAAAATTTGTTATGTATTTTAATAATGAAAATAACAATAATGTTAATTGAGGTTGAACTAAAATGAAAAGATTTAAAAATACTAAAACATTTTATTAATAACTTTAAGTTAAAAAAAGAAAAATTTAAAAATCACCAAATAGGTTGAATATATAAAAAAATCATTAGCAGCTCAATTTGTTTGCAAATTATTGTATCTCATTACCTATTTTTAGATAAGAAATGCATATTTATTCAATTATTTTTAATAATTCATTATTTTTATAACAACTAAAGACTTGTTTAGTTTTCTAATGATAAAAGAAAAAGAGTAGACTCATAGAGGATAACCTTTCATATTATTATCTAATCTAATAATAATAATTTTTTGTCACATTGTTTGACATTATTATCCAAGGCAATAATAATTTTATTTTCATTTACAATTAGTTATGTTTAAATGAAAGTTTATCAAAAATATTTTAGCTATCTTAATTAATTAATACATTAATTAATTCTACTATGATGGTTACTTTAAAAATTACTTTTAATAATAAATAAAATTTGTAAAGATATAATTTATTAATTCAACAAAATTTTAAGGATATTTTAATCGATTATTGTTAATACTTTTGTAATTCATATATATATTTTTTTAACATAGATGATCGATGATATTGAAAGTAATTTCCTGGAAGTGATTTTTGTTGAATCTGTTTCGTGGATAGATTAATTGTGTTATTATCTGTATATAAATTGATGGACTAAAACTTCGTAGATAAACACGAAATACAAAAGCTACATTTCTAAAGACGATGATTCTGTAAGCTGATGATTGAAATGGTTAGAATCAATTCTCCATGGATCTTGTAGTTGTGCTGCAAACTGCAAAGTCCAAAGGACATCCTCAATAGAAGGCCTATCAGTTGGCTCATTGGACAGGCATCTCAGACATATCTCCATCACTCTCTTCAAGGATTCAGCTGAGCATTCCTTGATAATTGATGGATCCACAATGCTTCTTCGAGCTGTATCATCCATCTTATTACTTACTTGTATCTGCAGAAGGTACAATGACCAAGCATCACCCTTAGTTTTATTTATATATAGGTCTCTTTCATGTTTGCACTGGTTAAAACTTCTCAGCAAACTGTGTTCATTGGTATCCCAATTTCTTTTTTTTGGAGAATTCATGTGCCTTAAACCTAAAGAAAACTAAAATCTAAGTTCGGATTCAAATTGGTTCTTATTTTGTATTATTTTTTGGTACATAAGAAGCCACAGATTAAGAATAAGAGGAGTTGCAGATGCTGAGATTCAAATTTCAGACCTGCTGAATGTGGCTATATGAACCAATTGAGCTAAGGTCAGTGTTCTTATTTTGTATTATGGATCATATAGAAAGAATATAGTGAAGTGATTCCTTGTCTGAAGAGTCAAGCTGCAGATACTTATGGAAATCAAAGAACAGAAAGTAGAAGTTATGGGAACACTAGCAACTCACGATATCTTTTACGACCATGACTTCATTTTGGGACATTATTGGCCTTCCGACAAGAATTTCAAGTAAGATTACGCCTATGTCATGGACATCATCCTTATCCTCATGATTTGCCCTGAATTTAAATACAGAACATGAGAAAATGTTCATGTACAGGATTAAGAAAAAAAAATTAAAGTTATTGATAAGGCAACTCCACAATGTCCAATAGAATGAACTATGCACCTTCCTCGAACATTTGATTTTAGTCCAGGAGAAGAAACTCCAGCACCCCCCTGAAATAGTTAAAATCAAGCCATCAACTCAAAGAAGTTATTTGAAGCAAATGTAACTAAGCAAATGTTATTTGAATCCGGAACATAATTCAGTTGACTCATATGTAATCACCCTTAAGAGATGGCATCAAATGAGTTTGGGTTCAAATCCCAAGTTGCAACATCTTTAATTTGTTTAAAAAAAAAAGACAAAGGTTCATCATACCGTTCCCCTAGTTTCTGCTAAAAGAGGGAGGTTATAACTGCTGATCTTTACATGAAGATTCTGATCCAACAGGACATCTGTTATCTTCAGATTATTTGAAAATACTCCTGGTAGAATCCCTGTATGGAGGAACTGAATTCCCTTTGCTACCTCAATTGCAGCTGCTATTCTTTGTGTCCAATTAAGTCTTTTTCCTGGTAATCCTTCTGCCAAATCTCAATTGTTAGAGAAGTGATGCATGAAAGTTTCAAACTCAACACACAAGATGAAGGTGCTATTCAGCATACTTACATCATAAAATACTGTTATTTTCATTTCCCATTCACAGAACACTGTAATAACTAAAATTTCTAGAGGCAACTATAGGCAGATCCACCTTTTGAGGTAGGATGTTCATGGACACCCCTAAATATTGAAAAATAAAAAAATTTGAATGAAAAATTTCTTTTGAACACTTTCAAAATTTTTTTCTGGAAACTCTATTAATTCGTCGACAAAATTAATAAATGTGTTAGCAGCATTTTATATATACATATATATATATATATATATATATATTACAAGTGAATACTAGTAACTATCCCCATAACAAAGGCATTTTAAGTGCTGAAAGAGTGGTAAAAAACATGTCTTTCTTTAAGTTCAAGTCGGTTTGCCTCATGGTACATATAATTGTTTTTAAGATTGAATAAGAAAGCAACCTTACCAGAGATGCAACTTCTCAAGGTGCCATTTGGAACATACTCGAATATGAGATATATGATGGTGACACTTGAATCATCTGGGCAACTCTCAAAACAGTGTCCAAGGGCACTAACCAAGTGGTTATGTCTGAGTTTTGATATCATCTCAATATGGTGTGTATATGTCTGGGCGTTATGCTTCTTTCTCATCTTTAAACTTCTAATGGCAACAACAGTTCCATCCCCAAGCTTCCCTCTGTAAATCTGACATTCTACATGATGTAAGAAGTTTGCTCTTGAACTATCCAGTTATTTTTATATTTGCTGAATCATGTAAAGTTAACAATAATAAATAGCAACCAGTGAACCCGAAATTTAGTTCATTTGGTTCATACAGCCACCCTCAAAAGGTAGTATTCAGCAGCTTTGAAGTTCAAATATCAGCACCTGCAACCTCATTTCCTATATCTAGACTGCAGCCTCTTTTGTAATATATATATATATATATATATATATATGCAGATGAGACATTTTGAGCTTGATTAAGGTCAGTGAAATATTTTATCATGAGGAATTTTAGATGTAACTAGAAAATCTAGATGAGTTCATACCTGGCCACGTGAACCTTCACCCATGATGCTTGAATGAGTGAAATTATTAGTGGCCTCCTTCAGCTCTTCCAAAGCAAAGGCACGATAAGCAGGAAGATTTGCTCCCAGCTTCATTGTTTCTGATATATACCCTGCGAATAAAAGAATTACTAAATGTTACATGCCATATGCTGACACTTCAAAAAAAAAAAAAATCCTACTAATTCTGTTGTTCTTTTTTATTTGTTTTCCAATAATACATTTTTCTTTACAATTTCAACTACATTCTGACAATTTATTCAAGAATTATAAAAAAAATCATCCTATTAGAGATTATTGTATTGGAAATGATAGTTCTTACAATTCCACAGGGAAGTTAGACTTTCACATTACATAGTTACGGGCTAAATGTCTTGTTAGAGGAGTAATTCTAATTTTTTTGGCCATCAGGAGTAATTCTTCTTTGTTTTTTTTTTTTTTTACAAAGGAGGCCGTAGCTTTGAGATACTGAGATTTGAATCCTAATCCAGTTAGATGCCACCTCTTAAGTGTGACTGCATGAACCTATTTAGACTCCACGTTCTTACTATTCTAGTTTAAAATAGTGAAGCCTTTGCAAATGGAAAAGAGAAGGAAATGAGGATCTTACTTGCATCTGACAATAGCTTGATTGTGTTTACTGTTGACACTTTCTCCTTTATTAACCTTGTGGAAGGTGTTTTCACAGCAACCCAGCTATTTCTTCTATGGATAACAAAAAAACTCAAACCAACAATTAATGCTATTCCAACAATTCCTCCCATTATACTTGATGCAAGAACTGCCTTAGCATTATGTCTCTTGAGCTTTTGAGGCCAAACTTTTACAGCCAATGCTTCATTATGGCAGAAACTAGAAGGATGCTGCTGTTGTTCTTTGTCAGATAAACAATTTCTAGCATACATAACAGTCCTGTTCTTGAAGGTTGGTTGCAGACATGCAGGCAAATCCCCAGTCAAAAGATTTGAGGATAAATTTACAAACGCTAGTTCTTTATTGCAGGACATGTTTTGGAAGAGCCTACCTGTAAGTTTATTACCAGAGACATCGATATAATTCATTGAAGGCAATGCAAACAAAGATGGCAAAAATGGTCCAACAAATCCATTCAATGAAATATCTAGCTTTTGAAGCTGATAACAGGAGACTATTTCAGCTGGGAAGCCAAACTGAAAACTGTTATTCCTGAGTACGAGAGTGACCAACTTGTTGTGCAAGGCAGGGAAGTGAGGTCCAAAATAATTGCTTTCTAAATCAAGGACTTGAAGGTTTGTCAAGTTCTCAAGATCAGGAACTTCCCCAAACAAGTGATTATTCGCAGTAACAAGGATTCGAATATTTTCTAATCTTGAAATGGAACTTGGCAGTGTCCCAAAGAGTGAATTGTTTTTCAGACTCAAAACAGCCAAAGCATGAAGAGAACTAAGCCAACCAGGAACTTGGCCAGTGAACTGGTTGTGGTCAAGCATGAGAGTCTGCAAATTTCTCAAATATGAAAGTTCCACTGGAATGAAGCCATTGAAGTAGTTTGAACTTACATTGAGTATTTCCAGGGAAGACAGCTTACCAACACTACCAGGCATAGGCCCCCACAAGCCTAGGGAAACCAAGGAGAGGACCTTCAAATTTGATAAAACAACAAGACTTGAAAACAAAGCATCAATGGAAAAGCTTTGAGGCAAGGGGGGAACCCCATTGTTTCCTATAATATGAAGCTGGGTGACATTATCTTCATAGCAAACAACAGATAAAGATGGTGTTGGTTCAATGCTGCAAAAGTCCCAAGTGTTGTTGAAGCTGCCAAGAACTGATGGGTAGTTGAGAAGCCGCTGGATTTCCCTGAGGGCATTGGATTGAAATGGTTGGAGCTGCTGGCGTGAGAGATGAACAGAATGAAAAAGAGTTAACACAAGTAGTAGAGTACAGTAAACTGGCTTTGCCATCAAAACTATCTGATGATCATTTAGTAGTTGGAACAAAGATTGAAGCATGGGAGACCAAACCAAATTAATGACAGAAAGCAAGAATCCTATTTAAAACAAACAAATATGCTTTACTAATCTCCTCTTGCTTCTATCTGGTTATTCTATCAGACTGTTACATATAATCAGTTAGAGTAAAACTGTAAAAGCACCAAAAGTTTTAGACCTTGGCAGCTGGCTTTTAAGAACTAGCAAATTCAATCGTTATTATCCAAAGTTTACTTCAGTTAATTCTTGCAGTTGTCCTTAAAAGAGGTATTCACTAAATCTATAATTCAAATCTCAATACTCGTAATTTCTTTTCTTATTTTCAGGCAGCGACATTTTTTTTATATAAAAAAATCAATCTTGTTTCAATGCATTTTCCTAATAATTGCCTTTATTAATCTTGCAAATGCTTATGTAATACAAACAAAAACTCTGTTTTATTTCTACCTTTGTAACAATAGACTTACTATAAGCTCATGGATTGTTCATTTTAATTAATCTACACTTTCATAATATTATTCCACTTCAAGTAACTCTATAATAATCACTATAATAAATGAGTTTATATTTGACGGAAGAGTATAATTCTATAAACAATCAGTAAAACCTTATTAATAAGTAAATATAATTTTTTATAATTATTTAAAATAAAAATATAAAAAATTTATTTTCTATTTATAAGATAGTATCATATGATATACTATCACTGTAAATATATTGACAATGATTTGAATATAAATTCATATAAGAATTTTTTTTTTGCTTTTAATAAAATTTGAGATGGATTGTTTTAATTTATAATATTGTTATGAAAATATTGAAAATTACATTTTTTTTTTACAAAGAAAATCATAGTTTAAGGATAGAAGAAAAAAAATACAAAGTGTTAAAATTAAATTTTCAAATTTATTAAAAATCTTTCAAAAAAATAATTATAAATCAATTAATCTAATTTTAAATTATATTTTATTGATTAGTATTAAAATAAGTTACTCAACCTAAATCATTAACTAAATCAACTTGTCAATGAATAAATTAATATTGAAGTAGTGCATTATTTTCATGAAGCTGTCTAATATATCCCTGTTGATTAACCATAACCATGTTCTATGATAATTGTGACCACATCTTTTTTTACGTATGTAATGGTTTTTTTTTTTTTTCTCTAATTTGACTTATCATTTCAAGGTTCCTATTTAAAAAGGATTTATCTCATAAATGATTTTTTGTATTATAGTTAAAAATATTACAACATTTGAATTTAAAAATTTTTTTAATATAATATTTGAATTATAAATTTATTAATTAATATAATATTTAAATTATTTTTTATTCATTACGTATTATTATTTAAAATTGATTATGTTAAAAATAAATAAAATATTAATTAATAAAATTATAATTTAAATATCATATTAAAAATTTTTTAAATCTTTTATCAAACTAAATATTTTTTTATTTGAGATCCTTCGATATTTGGTAACTATTTTAGATTTTGATTAATTCGGAGTTGAATTGGGTTGAATTTTATAAAGTAGAGTAAGCTTTTTTAAATTTATTTTTTTATTTATAAGATTTTAAATTAAAACTTTGTTTAAGAAAAAATGAATTTTTTGTCATTTTAAAAGTAATTTATAATATTAACTTATTTAAAAAAAATTGAGCTTAAGGATGATTTATATTCTCTAGCTAAAAACACTGTAGAAAAACGACAGTATGTGAATGTACGGGAAAAAAGAGGCTGAGACCGCAACATTAATTTTAGGAACCATTTGCATTGTCCAAAGCACATCAGAGTCTGTAACAATGACAAACAATAATTATATTATTAAAATAAAAAGAAGAAAGACAAAAAGTTATAGTATTAATATAAAAACAAAAGATTGACAAAAAAGAAAAAAGTGCACAAATAATTAGAAGAAGAAACAAAAATAGGCAGGCAGGCATTTAGATATAGGTTTGTCTTTGCATGACGACATGACATTGTCCCAAGAAAGAGACGTGCAATTTTGAAGTATTTGTTGTCCTTTTAAGACGTAACATTCTTAACTTGGTGAGTAATCTATCTACCCAAAAATGTCATACCTTCAAAATTTTGGAAACAAAAAAAATTTTTTTGAAGAAAAAAATTTTATTAGACACTTCTAAAATTTTATCTTGGATATCTCAAAATTTTCAGTAATAAATTTATTAAATACTTGTTAATTTAAGTGATAAAAAATTTGATTTTTTTAAAGTAAAATTTTAATTTTAAATTTTATGAATAAAAAATAAATTTTAAAAAAATTTATTCATCTTAAGAGATTCAATTTGATTCAATTTTAGATTAATCGAGATTTAAAATGATTATCGAATACCGAAAGATCTCAAATAAAAAAATTATTAAAAAATGGTTAACAAAATAAAATTTTTTATTCTTGATTAAAAGATTGTTAGTTCAAAAACACATTGTTAATATTGACAATAATATAGTTTTTTTTTTCTTTTTTTATTCAAGATATAAAAATTCCTCCTAAAAATTATAATAATATAGTAAGATTTTAAAATTTTATGTACAACTTTTTATATATTACAAATAAATACTTCCAAAAATATTTTAAATACACAGCCGATTATCAATTGTCATTGTCAAAGCGGAAGGAAGGAAGGTAGGCCCAATGAGTTCACGGGACATGAACTCCGTGAACCAAAATTTGCTCTGAAGATCCCAATTCCCATTTCCCATAACAAGTTAGAAAGACAAAGGAGAAGCATTTGCATGCAAATCAAAGCTTGAACTAGAAAAAGCCACTTGGCAATGATCCAACAAATAATTACAAACAATAATTGAGAGGACCCAACAACTTGTGAGTTTCATTGCAGATTTTAAAAAGGTAGTCGGTCACGGGAGAGTTTTCTATTATCAAGAAACCCTTTCCTTTATCCATTATTTAGATAACGGGCAGATATCTTTATGTCCACTATCACTCGAATATTTTGATGTGAAAAAGATTTACCGCTATAATATGTCCTAAATAATAATTAGATAATTATTTTTTAACATTCTCGCAGATGACCCATGTAACTCAACAAAAACTTAATAGTGATGAATCAATCCAAATCTAGTATGGCCATAGGTTATTGTAGCCAAACTCCCACTCAATTAAAGAGTCTTATAACACGAATCATGACGGTAGCATTCTAATTTCCATGTATTACAATGCATGATTCTCTCTAAAAATGCACTTTATGAGTCAATACTTTATGAATGAATTTTTCCTAGTCATTCAAGGTCCGATCAAACATGTAAACTTTGTGGGCAAATGATACATGTTCATAAGTTCTAAGAATAACAAATTAAACATGCCAAAGAAGCCAAATCAACATAACAAGAATTAATTAGTCCCATATGATTTATTTGACTTTTAACTGTTTTGCGTATGCTTTAGTCGTGGGATTTACAATCAAAAAATGTAAAATATGATACGGTGATATGATATGAAAATAATATGAAAAAAAATATAAAAGTAATACGATTTAAAATTTTAGTAAAATTATATACGGGTTTAACAAAAAAATATTTTGTGTTTTTATATCGATATGAATTGTGATATAATTTTTGTGTAAAATACAATATAAATATATAAATTATCAATGTTTTACACTACATAAAAATACGAATTGCAACTACAACTACAACCATTAATCAAGTGCTAGTGTGTTAAATATCCACTTCTTGCCTTTTTAGATGACCTCTAGCATCAATATACTTTATATCTATTACAACTTATACTTTTATCATTCTCATAAAAGAATATCGTAGAAGAGTTGTTATAATAAATCCTCAGTGACCTTGGAATCAATGACTCAAATAGAGATATCAATTTTATCCATATCCAATAGAAAATTCAACTTTTTACTTGAATGATGATGTAGATGAGTATTACATTGTGAGAATAGAAATGATGGTGTATATGATTTTAAATTTTTATTGAGTATGAGAATGAGAACGGATAATATAGTACTCATTATATACTCGTATCCTATATATGTTTATATATATTTAGTAAATAGATTTTCTATTAAATAATATAAATTATTATTTTAGATTAATTATAATTAATTTTTTTATTTAAAAATATATTAATAAATATTTATAAAAAATTACATAAATATACAAGATAAAAAAAATCTTAAAAAATAAAATTTAGTTTTTATTAAAAAAAAAAACTATGGGTATGTGAATTACTCAAAACCATTAAATACTAGTGGAGATGGGATGAAAGTAGATTTAAAATACCCATTGAATATGAATATAGGGATAGGTATAATATAAAAATTCAATAATGGGGATGGGGAATACTCTAACCGTTTTATATCCTACCCATTGATATCCTTATGGATGAATGTACAGTGAAGGCACTGGACACAGTTGCCCCTACTGAGATCTTTGTCCCTTCAAAAATATATTATAAAAATATTTAAAAAGTTTAATTCCTTTATAATGCCCCACTCAAATATATATATATATATATATATAATATGTAAAAGTCAAACTTACATTAACTGGAAGTGATAGGTTTGTGAATAAAAAATTATTTTAAAGTTATTATAAAAAAAAAAAGTAGAATTGATTATAAATAAAAGTAACTGATTTTCCATTTTCCTCCATCTTCCCCACTTTTGCAACTTTCAAGTTTTCAAACAAAAACATGAAGAACCAGAGAAGAAAATTAAAGAAGTAAAAAAAGAAAAAAAAAGTCTTTAAACTAAAAAAACAAATTACAAGTTGGTTATCTTCTTTTTCTAACAAGATATTCAAGTAAGTTATTTTTTTTATATATTTTTATAATTAGTCAATTGGTTTTTTTTTATATATTTTTATATATAGTGTTTATTTACTATTTGAAATTTGTTATATTAATGAAATAATTTGATCATGTATTCATGTTATTCATAGCATTTATATTTTTTTATCAAGTTTGAAATTTTTATGCTTTATATTTTTCTTTATTTTTTAAATTATTACTCATTCAACTAATAACTTTAAGTTTGGTAAAAATTAATTTTTATATGAAGATTATAAAATTAGTTAGAAGTTTTATCAAAATTCTAGCATAGCAGTATAGTTACAATATGTGAATTGCATTTCTACTCATATATTTTAAATATAGGGTCAATTGATCTTCATTAATATG